TGCAGATCAAAACCATGGGCAAGGCAGARCTGACATGGTGAATCCAGATAAAAGGCACCCCAGACCCAGGTGGAGCATCYCTGGCTGTGAGCAGCAAGCCCTGAGTGCASCGAGTGCTGCTGAGCCCAGCTGGGCAGGGAGGAGCTGATCCCAAACCACCAGGAACAGCACCCTGGAGAAGGGGGAGAGGAGCCTGGGTGGGAAGGGACACACTGGGGTGTCCCCTGTGCCTGGACAGGGCCACTTGCTGCTGGGGACAAGGAACAGGTGCCACTGCTGTCCCCAAGAAAGAAGGAACCCAAGGGGTCCCAGTRCCTCGCTCTGCCTGGGGAACTGGACTCCTTTAATCCACATTCCTGTGTTTGCTGCTCCTGCCAAACCCCATGGACACCTCAGGAGGCTCCCAAAGCTCAGCTGCCCAGACCCCCTGGCCAGACCCGGACTGGCAGGATGTTCAGCAGCCACCACGCCCTGAGCAGGGCTGAGTCAGCCGTTCAGGGACTGCAGAGATGCTGTGGAAGCTTCAAGGAAATCCCATGAGTTACCCTGTCAGCAATGCTGCATCCAGGAGGGATAACTCTGATCGATCCCAGCCTACTGCTTAACAGGGTACAAATTACTTTCTAATTGGAATTGGAGAAACTGGCTTATCTGGGATGTTTACAACTCATCTTTTAGAAAACCCAACAGCCTACTCTCTTCCCTTCCTGGGGGCAAAATCTTTTCCTCCAACCATGCCCTGGAAAAGGCCAACAGTTTTCTGAGATATTTCCTAACCACACAATACAGAGACTTTTGTCCAGCACTGCTCCAGATGCCCTTTGGGCTCTTCAACCTCACCCCAAATGTACCTGAGGCAGATGGAGCAGGCAGTTTGTGGCTGAGCTGGAAGAAACCCCTGCCCTGCTTTGCAAACAGCTATGGAAAAGTCCCACACACCTTCTCCCAAGCAGTGAGGTGCTCCCTGGTAGCTCCGCACTGCCAAAGCGTATTTGAAGCATATTTAAAGCATATTTAAAGCATATTTAAAGCATATTTAAAGCATTCTTGGGGCTGTAAGGAAGGAAAAGCCTGGAAATGTCCCCCCTGCCCCTCCCCAGGCATTCCCAGGATGTCTCTGTTTCAGTGCAGCACAATGGCCCAAATGTCACCAGTCAGAAAAKGAGGCACACGAGGTGCAGCTGCCCAGGGAGCACCAGTGACCCTCAAAGCCCCAGGCACTGCCCCCTCCCTTGGGGTCACTGTGCTGGACATCACACTGGCCSTGCAGGGACTGCAGGGACACACAGAGGGGTTCTGTGCATCCATCACTCCTGGAGCATCTTCTGTGCTCCCATCATTTGTAATCCATCCTTTGCACCCCACTCCTCAAACATCTCTTCTTTTTGGGCACATTTTTCCCCCTGTCAGCCACTCCCACCTCTTTCTCCTGGCCAYATCTCCTCTCTCCTGCAAGCTCCAGGTGCAGAACTGAGGCTCTGCAGGGAGCCCCAGCCAGGAACACCTGAGAGCAACGAGCAGACCCTTCCCACTGCAGCCCCTGGGGCTGGGCAGAGGATCTGAGCGACTTCACAGCTCCAGACCASGGGCTCTCCTGGGACATCTCCTGATCCTACAAGGCTGGCTGTGACAATGGATGTCTCAATGCCCTCGGGGTGCATTCCTGTTCCTCTTGTGACTGAATGACCACCCTGCCCCGTGTTCTCCTGGGGCAAACACAGGTTTTCTGCTGGCATTCCTTGCCTCTCCTCCTCTGCCCCGAGTCCTAGACATGATCTGGCCATGCAGTTACCCCTTCCCTCAGCCCAGCCTGTCTTCCAGTGGTCATGAGGCCAAAGARAAGACTCGGCTCTGTTCCTAAGAGGAATCCAGCCCTGGCTGAGCCAGCAGAGGCAGGGAGAAACCTCCGTGACACGAACAGCCATGTCCCCAGCGCTGCAGGGTGGAGGGGCCTGACAGCCACCTTTCTTCTGGAGGTGCTCACACACCTTCCCTTGCTCAGAATATCACAGACTCTTGACTGGACAGGGCCAGGAGCACAGCCAGGCCCTCAGCCCTCACCTGYAGCCAGGCTGGGCAGCACCAGCAGCTCCTGAGCTCCTCAGCTCGGGATCGCTTCAGCTCCTCTGCAGCATCGGGTGGAAGAGGAGCTCTGGCATGGGAGCTATTAGAGTGGGTGGCAGCAGATGGCGAAAACAGAGGGGATAGGAAAATAAATACAAAGAGGCTATCTKGAGGGGAGAAGTCAGCACATTAACACTCTGTTGCTTACACAGTGTCTCCTCCCAAAGTCTAAACAAACACTGCTCGGTTCCTGGCGCTCTGGAAGCTCAGGGAGGAGGACAGCACTGAGCACACACAGCACTGCAGAGCCCTGAGAGCTGTTGCAGCCCCAAAGCCTGCTCAGCCCTCCACAGCCCAAATGTTTGCAGGGGGATCCCATACAGGACAGGACAGGACAGGACAGCCAGCCAAGCAAAGAGCCTGCATGTCCTGCTAACCCACAATTTGGGGAACCCATCCTTCCCCCAGCCTGGGTGTGGACACAGTTCCACCTCTGCCCTTCCCATGCACTAATGGATGCTCTTGCCTGACACCTTCAGAAAAGCAAGTGGAAGAYATTCCTGAGGGGGATGGAGAGGCCCCAGGGTCTGCCCAGTGCTGTCTCTCAGGAAACCAATGCTCCTTGTCCATCACCAGCCCCACAGCAGCAAAACCATCACTTCCACTGCCCTCACACAGCCCTGCACAGCAGGAGCCCATCTCTGCCTGTCTCCCCAGGTTCTTCCATCAACCCCAAACTCTGGAGTCTGCAGCTGGGCCATTTCTGCTCCTCTGGCCACCACAGCAGTGGGAAAGGTCTTTCCCTCTAATGCTCCTCCTGAGAGACCTCTGAGGGCTCAGCCTTGGGARAAACAGGTCCAGCTAAAAGTGGGGACATTCCTGCTCACCAGGCTGCTCCACAAACACACTGAGGACACCTCACTGCCCCTCAAGAACCCCCAAAACCCACAGCCCTTCTCAACACCTCCCACCTGGCTCTGCCAGAGCACCTYGCCAGGGAACACAGAGGTGAGAGCAGCCTTTGAACTCCCAATGCTGGCTCAGGCACCGGCAATTTATTATGTTAAACACGTTAACYGAGGATCTAAAGCAACAGAGCAAAGATGTTCCAGGGAAGGTTTGAAGTCCCCCAGCAAGGGGCTCCTGGGAGTGCTCTCGTTAACMCTGAGCACGGGCTCTGTGCAGCTGAGCCTCCCTGAGCAGGAACAGCTCCTCAGCCCCTGCAGAGCCCGTCCTGTTCAATCCCCACAGCCATCGGGGACACTGGGACAAGCAGGGCTATTAGTGGGACCACAGCTAATTCTGGGGGAAAGGAACAAGCAACAAAAGCAATAGAACTGATGGATTGCTCATGCAGGAGCTGTAACCCCTTCCTGTCCAGTCCTGCAGCGCAGCAGAGATGAGGATGCTTGCTGGAACAGCTCCTCTGCCCCATGGTCTCTGGTGAGGGCTGGGAACAGGAAAGGCTGCTCTGGGGAAGGAAGGGGCCATTCCAGGAGATCTCATCAGCATGAAGAGCTCAGGAAAGCAGCTCCTGGCAGGGGACCTTCAGAAAATGGGACAGAACGTGGTGACTCCAGCTCTGGGTAGAAACCACAGTGCAGCAGCAACATCTCTGCTGAGCAGGAGAGCTCAGGGCAGGGACAGGGACAGGGACAGGGACAGGGACATCCCCTCAGGGCAAGGACAGGGACAGGGACAGGGACAGGGACATCCCCTCAGCAGCCCCAGGGACACACAGCTGCCAGCACTGAGAGGGGCCACCTCTGCCACAGCACCAACACACCAGGAAACACCCCAGGGCCACATCTTCCCAATCCCACACCTGCCTGCCCCACACCTCCCCAATCCCACACCTGCCTGCCCCACACACCTCCCCAATCCCACACCTGCCTGCCCCACACACCTTCCCAATCCCACACCTGCCTGCCCCACACATCTGCCCATTATTTCTGCCCCCTTAGATCATGCTGGCTGTAGCCATAGGGGTGGGTGGGAAGGTGAGTGCCACGGTTTTGCTTTCTGAAGCACCTCAAACAAGCACAGGAGCTTGCAGAGAAGCTCCTCAGCAGTGCTGAAGGCAGCTCAGGAGGCAGCAGGGTCTGGGTGAGTGCCCGGTGCCCAGAGCAGCAAGGGGCAGAGCTTGCCAGGTGACAGCTGCATGGGAAATAACCGAGAAGATGTTGAGATAAAGGCTCTGTAGCAAAGCAAACTGATTAAAAGCAGCAYCAACATGAGCTGAAGGTTCTGCAAGCTGGTGGTAGAGAATCACAGAATCACTCAGGTTGGAAAAGATCATCAAGTCCAACCATCAACCCAGCACCAATCCATGCCCTCAAGAGCCACATCCACACTTCCAGGGATAGTGATTCTACCATTCCCCCAGGCAGCCTACTCCAGTGTTTACAACCCCTTCTGTGATTTTTTTTTCTCCCAGCATTTAATTTCAGCCTCCCCTGGTACAGTTTGAGGCCACATCCTCTTGTCCCATCACTCTTTACCTTGGATAACAGACTGACCCACACTTCTTTCAGCAGTTGTAGAAAGTGAGAATGCCCCCCTTTTCTCCAGGCCGAGCTCCCCCAGCTGCTCCTCACCAGATGTGAGCTCCAGACCCTTCCCCAGCTCTGCTCCCTTCTCTGGACATGCTCCAGCCCCTCAATGTCTTCCTTTCTGAAGGAAAAGGGTTATTTCTGACAGGACAATGCCTCTAAACCAGCAGGAACAGGTTCATTCACAGCTGCTCCATCCACAGGCCTGTCCCTGCACTGTCACCACCCAGGGACACAGCACCCAGGGACCTGCACCTCTGATCCCACAGGACACCAAACAGGGAAACAGCCACAGCCTCCTCTCCTAACAGCACCAGACTGTTAAAATCTCGTGTGTGCCATCCCATCCCCTTGGTGCAGTCACAGCCGAGGAGCAGCACTGACCTCCCAGCCCCGGGCGCAGGCGGTTGTCGTATCCGTCCAGGAGCCGGTCCAGGATGCGTGTGAAGATGGTGATGTTGTCCTTGCTGTCATCCACCACGTCTGAGACGTGCTTCTGAGAGAGCCTGGCACACGGAGAGGGGGGAAAAACAGGAAAAAATGTTAAAGGGAAAGCTGTGGGGTGCGGGGTCCGAGCAGGCACAGGGAGCGAAGGGACGCGGGCGGCTGCTCCAGCCTGACCCGCAGCAGGGGCTCAGCTTCTCCTACAGGGATGTGAGCAGGACTCACCACCTCCATCAGGGCATTTCTGACCGAGAAACATCAGAAATGAGGGCCAATACCTCCCCACTGCCCCCTCCCAGCCTTTCCCTGCTCAGAGCCAGCAGCAGCACAGGGAGTGGTTTAGGATTTTAACAGGGAGCCTTTCCCTGCCCCAGCAYCCCTTTCCTGCCCCTAAGAAAAGGCATTTCCTAACAGAGCCTGTGGGGAGCTCAGTTATTCATGTGCACTATCTCCCTACAGGCAGCATGGTAGAGGTGACACCATTCATTTGGCAGATTGAGCCATTTCAAAGATCTCTGCCCCTGGGAAGAGYGGAGACAAAAGTATGAATTCAGTAAATCAGGCCTAAAGCCTAAATCCATCATTAAAACACTTAGTGAACCATCTCTGCAGTTTGCTGAACTTTCCCTGTTTATAAAAACAAATGAGTTTCCACATTCCCATCCCTGCTCAACGCAAGAAGCCTGGAAGCCCCCAAACAAGATGATTTCCTCAGAACACATTCTGCCCCAGGTGAAATGAAAAAAAGGAGTAAATTCCTCTCAAAAAGCAATCTCGCTGAACAAAACCTTCAGYGCGGTTTTGCAAACACAAGGGGCCCAAATCATACATTTGCATTTTGTGTCTCCCTTTCAAKCAACAGAAAAGGAGCTGGTGAGCCCTGCTGGAGCCACCTGCCWCTAAAAGAGATTTCAGATGGCACAGAGTAGCGGTGCCGTGGCTTCAAGCACAGCTTTCCCCAGCTGAAATAGCTGTTAGGACCAAAACAAATGGAAAGGCAGAAGATTAAGTAACAGAAAACAAAAAGAAAAATCTATAGAGATGAAGAGTTTTCAAGGAAGATGGAAGAGGAAATAAGAGAGAGACAAATGAGGGCAAAAATAAGATTAAGAGGCACAGAGAGGCAGCGGGATGGCTGAGGAAGCCCAGGCAGGCAGGGGAGGAAAGGCTGGGGGAGCAGAGGGATGCTCAGCAGCAGCTCCAGGAGCCCCTCGGGAGCAGGGAAGCCCTTAGCAGCAAATTTGCACTAATTGCAGAGGTAAATAACTGGGATCAGTGCCCAGGGGATCACCATAAATGCCACAAACCAGCGGTGGTGGAGGTGCAATTCATGGTTACAATTACCAGGGACAGCACCTATGACCACCTGAAGTGTTGTGCTGGGGAAGAGAAGATTTYCCCCCTAAATTGTTGCTTTCAAACACTTCTGCCCCTTTCCTTCAAACCCAGCCTTATTTCCTTTGATGTGTGGCAGCCACTGGTTTGAGCACTCATCAGGAAGTAACTGGGGGAAAAAAAACAAAAAACCCCAAAAAACCCCAAAAAACAAACAAAAAAATCCACAAAAAAAAACCCCAAACCCATAAAGATGAACATTATTTAAGGAGTTCAAAGATAAATCCTGGTGAGATTCCATCTGGTCAGACTGGTTACCCCTGACACTACTGGTGCACCTGTAAATACACTGAGAAGGGTCAGGAAGGTGACAAGTACCAGAACTGGTTTGGAATTCTTTATCAAAATAATTACACAATAGAAAACTCAGATTCATTGTGATCAAAAAGGAGCAAAGGGTATTTCTTAGCTAAAGAGGAAAAATGGAGAGCAGGCTATGGGTACCTTTAGAGTCAGGCTGAATCAATACTATTTAGAATGCTGCAGTTAATTGAAATATTCTGTTTTGGGCAATTCTGACATTAATTTTCATTGGTTTCATTGACCAAACGCTCTGGGAAATTGCATTTCAAGTGCTTGAGGTCCATTTCTTCRGGGGTCAGGTCCCACCCCTCACAGGACCACTTGGCCTCTATTTTTTAGCAAAGCAACACATGAGGGAGTGGCCAAGCCAGGAAGCGGAGCCTCCAGGAGCACAAGGACAGTGACACAGGGCTGAAATTGCAGTTTCCRTGGGGTGAGGCACAGTTGGGATAACACCTGACCCAGCCCTAATGCAACCTGTCACACCCAAACCACCCCTGACATTCCAAACTGCATCACAGCCCTCCAAGATTTCCATCTGCATCAAAACCCTGCGTTTGGCTTCTCATCTGAACTTGAACTCCCTGCAGGTAAGCGGAGTTTTGAGAAATTTAACAAATGCCTGCAGTAATTAGTGAGGTTTCAATTGTGCCAGCTTTCAATAGATGTCATGGTTAAAAGCAATCTGTCCCAGTGTCTGCTGATGAGCATATAACCATCTATAACTTATGAATAGCTGGCATGCTCATGAAAGCTCATTCATTAATGTTTTATAAGCTATCTTTAAAAATTACCCATAATATAAAGAGTGAGAGGAGGGATTTTTGTGAAGGAACTCCTGGCGGAGGCTCAGCAGTGATGGGAAAAAATGAGTTTACAAATTTCAAAGCTGTTTTACTTTAGCCTGACATTTGAGGGTTTGACTTCAATGTGAGCAGTGTGGGATTCGCTGGGGGAAGAGCAGCGTGGGCAGGACGAGGGAAGGTGCAGGCAGGGGAGAACCAGCACCTGATTTGGGCTAATCAATTCCTTTCCCAGGAAAAGCTCTGGGCTGCCTCACCTCACCTTCACATAAAGCCAAAGCTGCCCTTTAGCAAGGCATAAAGGAACTGCAAAGAGGTGTGGGGATCAAGGTTTCGAAATAATTAAAATCCTTTAGGCAGGAAGGGCGGAGGTTTACWGCAAATTTAATTAGGGTAGGCTGGAGGAAAAGTCATTACCTTGCCACCTGTGCACAGGCTCTCTGGGGAGCTGTGCCACGCCAGCACAGGGGTCCCTCACACACAATTGAGGCAGCAAATCCTCCTGGGGATGGATTCTGAGCAATCCCTGCGTGGAAGGTGCTGAGGGAGCAGCAGCTCTGGTGAATATGATGGGGAGGAAAAGGCAGCGGTGAGGATGGCAGAGCTGCAGGCACAGGGGATGGTGACAATCCCCAGAGCCACCGTGGGGACCCGGCCCAGCAGTGCCCAGGGCTCCCTGTGCCCGGGCAGGAGGGCAGGGCCAGCATTTCCAGGGCAAGGCAGGCTCRGGATGCAGCTGGACAGTCAGACCAGAGCACACAGCACAGACAAGGACAGGGGCAGCGCTGACATCCTTTCATGCGTGAAGATCCTTGATCCCTGCTGGACTTGTACCAGCAGGCAGCATTTCAGTGTCCATACCTGGCACTCTACAGGCTTTTCTAAATGTTTTATACGAGTCATGCATTATTTGCGTCTCTCTCCCTCTGTGCAGAGCTCCTCCCTCCCCACAGCTGGTGTTGTCTCTGTCTCCCTTCCTCGAAGGGCTCCCCGAGCTCACCCAGCGGAGGCTTTGGCGGGATGCAGAGCCTGTCACAGACTAACAGGCTTTCCTCTCCTCCAGACAGATTCCAGAGGCTGGAAGGGTGAGCGTGGCAGCAGCACCCTCCTTGCCAGGACAGCCAGAGCCTGCACACCCAGCATGGGGAGCAGCCAGGGCTGGTCAGGTGTGCTGCCCGTGGGTCACTGCACCATTAACAGCCAAACAGCTGAAGAAGATTCATTTTCTTTTCTTTAAAATAGTATTAAAATATTAAATGGGGTGAGGGGAACCTCCCTTCCAGGTTAAAACTCCAGCAAGTCAAGTCCTTGCCCRGAACGAATTGTGCAGAGGCCAAATCTGAAAATAGGTTTTGTTGCAAAAAAATTGCTGACAAGTGTCCTCAGTGAGAGCACCTCCAATAATGGCAATGTCAGCCATGCCAGGGAGTGTACAGWTCCCGGGTGAAAGGCACAGGGACAGGGACAAGGGGAGGGTCAAACGCCACAGAGATATTTTTTGTGCTTTGCCCTGGGCTACTTCATGCAGGTACTGACCCTGGGATATTTAAGGACTGCAGCCCTGGCCAACAGTTCAGCACTCACCACCTTACCCAGCATCAGCAGGGAGAGCCAAAACCAGSAGCAGGAATCCAAGGCTAAGGAGGGAGAAGGGCCCCATCCCCGAGARCCGCGGCGCCATCGTGTCAGCGTGCAGCCACTGGAGAACGAGCCTCCAACACCTGCCAGGGAGGGACAGAGGGAACGAGAGGAGACAAAAGAGGGTTTATTGGCTACGGAAAAGCAGGCAGGTCAGTTTTTCATGTTGGGCAGCAGTCAGTATGTTGGGGGTCCTGTATCTGAAACCTCAGGGAACCCCCAAAGGCAGCAGCGCTGGCCCTGGGGAAGTGGCAGCATGGGGTCACAGCCAAGCAGGTACACACAGAGAAAACCCGCAGCCCACCCTCCCAGCAGCTCCCCAGCTGCTCCAGCAGCAAGTGCACAGCTCCATTCCAAAGTGGCCATACTGGCTCTTCTCCATCCCTTCCCCCCTCACCCCACAGCCTCAGTCACCACCKGCAATCCCAGCTCACCCCGTCCCTCTGCTCCCTCGGTGACATCCACACAGCAGAACCATTTGGGAAGTCTCAACACCCATTTCTTCTCCCYCTGCATCTTTTTCTAGACAGTTAAACTCCCATTTAATTCTTGTAATGACACTACCAGAAATTATTATTAAGTTTGACCACCGARGGCCAAGGTGGTGGGAACGCTCGGYGATACGACACTTAGCGCGCTCAGAGTTTTCATTAACGCTCACTTTTACTTTTATTGTGATGTTATTGCACATTTAACTGCCTTCTCCTTTTATGTATCTCATTATGCTGATGCACCTTGGAGCTGCACTGCCGAGCAACAGCCTGGATAAATACAGCTTGTCGTGACATCTCCCCCTCACAGCCCTCCGTGGCTGGCACTTGGCACGATGGCAGCCAGGCACAGGCGGCCACTGTGAGCCCCCAGAGCCAGCAGAAAAGGCTCCAGTCAATCACAGCACGCAGAAACCAGGGCAAGATGCTGTTGCCAGCCAAACGTGACCTCTGGATTTCTCCACTCGACGCTGCAGAGCCTCGGGCGGATCCCTCCAGCAGGGAAGGAGGTGCTGGATGGAGCCAAACCCCAGCACCTGGATGGCAAATCTCAGCCAGCTGAGGCTGCCCCGGGATGAAGGGGGCAGAGGAACTATCTAAAAGCTGCCAAAGAGCAGGGGTTTCTGCACAGGGACATGGGAGAGGGCACCCCCAGCAGAAATAGGGAGCAGGGGCTCCAAGCAGGATGGAAACACCTGGAGAATCCCACCTGTCCCCAATGTGTACCTGGCTATCCTGTCCCTGCAAGAGGAGAGGCACACAGCCAGGCTGGGTCATGTGTTTTGTCACATTCCTACATTTAGCTGGTCTCCCTACAGCATTTTGGCCCTGCACTGTTCCCAAAGGCTGTGCCTGATCCTTGTTTTTCAGGAGCACAGGAGCTGCCAGGCAGGCAGAAGGTAAGAGCCAGACACCACCAGTCCTTACCACCCACCTCAGCTTTTGTTCTGGCAAGATATTCACTAACAGCAGGCACAGGGGRAAAAAACCCCAGCATTTGGCCCCGGTTACCTTTATCTTCTTCCCCATCACTCACTTAAAATCCTTGCAAGAATTAATGCATGGATTAATTTAGGCACAGCATGCTCAGGCTTTATTTAATCAGGATTCTACCTGAATGCCACCTAGGGAAGCTCATCCTCACACCAAAGGAGCCTCTGGCACAGACACACCCCCAGATCTGTTGAGAAAAGCCCTGATTTGGGATGGCTCCTCTGGCTCTTGCCACCTTCCAGCTGAGAAGGGACACACAGCCTTGGAAATTCAAGTATTTGCTGATTGAAGCACAAATTAACTGGCTGAACATCTGTTCTGTGGGAAATTCCAACATTTTGGGGAGACTCGCTCCAAATCACGCCAAGGACAGATAAAATGTTGATGTTTCTTACAAGGCAAATTCAGAACTTCAATAAGCAGCTTCTCAACAGATTTCCTTTCAACTTTTCCCTTTCATTTCACTTCAACTTGCATATTGTACAATAGTATTTAATTGATTTTTTTTTCCTAAGGCAATTTCAAACACGGCCAAAAGCATAAACACACCAAAAAAAAAAAAAACCCCAAAAAACAAACAAAGCCTCGAAAAAACCCCCATTGCTGTTTTCCCTCTCCCCTACCCAAAACTGAAAATTTTCACTGAAATCAACATTTTCCCCTTCAAGTGCTGATTTCAAGAAATGCTTTGTCTGGGCAGAATTTGCGCAGGCAGCAGATTTTGACCAGGGATRCCCACAAAAACGAGGACACTGTGGATTTGCAGCAGGTGCCTCCTGGCTCTGCAGGAACTCTGGTGGCTCCTCTAGAACATTTGGAGCCATCTTTATCAGATTTGGTGAGACCATGGGTGGGGCAGACTATGCACCAACAGTGGAAAAGAGAAGCTAAAGGGAATTACCAGAAAATGGAGGAACAAGGTAATTCAGAGGGTCGGGAACAGTGAYAAAATCCCAAACACCTTCCATGTAGGTATGCCCTGTCTGTGCCACCTGCATTTCCACCAAACCTTGTTCATAGAGTTTTCCTTCAATATTACACATAGATGACATCCATTTTCTATCTTGGATATTTCTGATGAAGAAGATGCTAGCCAAGGGGCTGCTTGAACTAAGTCAAATTTGTGCCTAAGTCTCATTTTAATCTTCAGAACTGGTTCTACATCCCTGCACTGGGAGGAAAATCTGTTTTCACCACTTGCCCAAGAGAATATTTGGCCAGTCACATCTCAGTTTGCTCACACTGAGAACGCCCCCCAAACGGGGGTTTGCTATGGCTGCATTTACAGACTCAGGAAGGACAGCACAGYGTGGAAAACAACTTGGCAGCATTTCCTGCCGCTTCCCTTAGGTTCCTGCACTGAATTTCTCATGGGGAGCTGCATGGAAGAGGCTGCAGGGTGTTTTCCTCGTTCTTTGGCTGCTTCACCCTTGGAGATGGATTGAGAAGCAGAGCCAGTCCTGCTCAYCACCCTGTTGCCAAGCAGGAAATGTGTTGGAAAACACAGGGAGGCTTTWGCAGAGGAGGAGGGGGTTTCACCCTTCAGGCAGTTCAGGGGATCTTCCAAAGCTCCYCCCAGCCACATCCCAGGATGGTTCCCGTGGCACAGCAGCTCTCAGCAGCTCTCGTCCCCAGTCCAGCCACAGGCACACACAGGGACCCTGCTGGTGCAAGCGCTTTGGAAACCCAACAGCTCCTGGCCGTGCAGCCTCCCTAAGAAAACCACTTTGTAAAATCACTCCTGAGGTTTCAACAGCCCCAGGAACAGCTCCTCAGATTTCAGCACACGAGAGAAGCTCTTGGAGAGGATGCTAAAGGCAGAGCAGGCRAAGGGGTCCCTCGGTGCGCACAGCAGCTGGAGCAAAGGGAAGGGATGGCAACACCCACGGGTGTGCCTCACCTCGGGAAAAGCAGCACTGGAGCTCCTCCAGCCCGTGCTGGGGCTGTCCTCGTGGAAGGCTACCCGGCTGTCACCTCCCACTCAGCAAAGCTCTGAATCAGCCAACGCCTTGATCTGAATACCTGCAGGGATCCCTGATCCTCTGGAAACAGGAGGGAGGATGCAGGCAAAGTGTGTTTAACTGCATGGAAACCAAGTGAGGGTTTAGGGGTGTTATCTGATTGTTAACAGCCTCAAAGAAATAAAAAACCCACCCAAATCTCTTACTAGGACTTGCTGAAGGGAAAACTGCACAGTCCATGAAGAAAAAAGTGCAGAATGACAAAATTTCCAAATTCGGGAAAAAATGTTACAACTCTTTAAAAGACTGACCCCCCTCTTTCATGTAMGTTAAAAAACAACTCCCCAGAGCTTGTGGTCTCATCTGTGTCTGTGCAAGATGGAGCCCAGAGGGCTGGGATGTGTTCAGAGGAGCAGCCCTGCACTTCCTTCCTCCATCTGTCCATTGCTCATTCCTTAATGGCACCGTTAGCAAAGGCACTCAGCGCTAATTGCGCAGTCGCTGGTAACCTCCACAGCTGAATCCAACGCAGATTTTTTGAGAAGCCCTGCTAACGCTGTGCAGCTGGAATCCAGCAATATTCCAAGTTTACAGCACATGGAATTTGGCAGGTGTGTTTGTAACSGCACACCTAAGGGCTTCAAACATTCCCACTCCTCTCCAAGACACGCAATCTGTCCGATCTCCAGAGCATCGCAGCACAACAACACTCCAGGGAAACACAATCTTCCTGTTGGACGTGCTGTGAACAAGGAATTGGAAAATCTTCCTTCCCCTCACCACAGCAACGTGCTCCAGCTCCTGCTCCCACTGAAGTGGGCTAGGGAACCAAAAAAAGTGCTGGAACCTTCCAGATCAGCGAGGTGCCCTAGTAACTATGCCAACATTGGGTATCTCCTGACTTGGCACACTGAGCCTGATCTTCCCAGAAATCCTTATTCTGGAAACTATTAGATATTCTGAAGTGCTTTCCTAGGAAAGAGTGATTAGCACAGGCTTACTGCTGACAAGGGAAAGACACAGAACTCTGGAGGTGGAGACTGAAAGGTAAAGCTTGAAAAAAMCCTGAGAAAATGGCCAGAGAGAGAGGGGTACTGCAAGCACCACAAAATAAATAAAGGTAGAAGAGGCCCAGAAACCCACCTGAGTATGTTTGTGAGAGTCACATCAGTATCCCACCCAAATTTCTGCCTCCTGGGAATGTGCACAGCCAGAGCAACAATCTGATTCTACTCAGCAATAGCGTCACGGTGCAGGCAGCACTCACAAACTGCCCCAGCAGAGTGCCCAGAGATGCTGTGTGCCTGTGGTGTCATTGGATCCCCATCCCCACACACCACCCATGGACACCAATGGCATCAGCTGGAGGGTGCAGAGCTCTGAGAGCTCCCGTGCAGCTCCCTGGACCTGCAGCAGCCCCACAGCTTTGGTCAAGTCAGGTGTGTCAGGGAGGAGCTGGTGCTGGGAGCCAGCTGGAAAACAGAACTGGGGAAAAGAGGAACCCTCAGCCCAAAAGCTCGGATCAAAGCACTTCTGTGCAGGAAGGAGAGGGTGATCCAGGCCCTGGTGGTGCCAAGAGCCATCTGCCCACCTGCACAGTCAAGCACAGCACTGTAGGTGACCTCACAGCACCTGCATGTTTACCCCCAAATTCAGGAGCACTTGCACAGCACAAGGAGCTCATTAAAGCCCTTCCTCATTGCACTGGAGCCTCTCCAAAACGGGACCCAGGCAGCAGGAGAGGCCCTTCAACACCCCTCAAGGGCTGCAGAATCATCCAGCCTGCACGGGCTGTGCTCTGTCCAGCTGGCCCTGGCCCTCGGTGAGCACACCAGGCTCCTGGTCACCACTGCTGTGCCTCTCGGTGAGCAAAGCTCCGAGCTCCCTCCACACAGACAGCAGCCAGCAAGCGCTCAGTGCAGCAGCAATAAACACAGGCGAGGCACACGCTGCCCTATGTCCCTGCTGGGGAGGCTTTTCTCCACTTCTCCATCACTCCAGCTAAAAAGGAGGCTCCCTTGGAATAAAAACATCTTTTCATTTGAGGGCAGGGGCAGCATCGAGCAGCCACAGTTGACCTGGGAGCCCAGAAACGGCAGAGTAAGAGCCGGTGGTGTTTCACAAGACCCCTGCCTGGCATCCCTCTKCTTCGCAGGTTGTTTGCATCCCTTTGTTCTGAGCTCGCCGGGACGCCCGTGTGCGCTGCAGGAGCAGGCACGGACACCCGGTAAGGCAGACAGCCCAGGGCCAGGCTGGCTCTGGGAGCTTCCAGCACCTGAGGTCACCTGCATTTCTCCAGCTTGCCCCTCGTTTAGCTCTGCCTGGTGCTGTACAGACGCTGCTGAAGGCCAGGAGCCACCACAGCGTTCGATAGAAAACAGAGACAGAGAATCAGGCGGCAGCACCTCCATCCACCTGGATCCAACTCGCTGTTTGCCACCGCTCAGAGACACGGCCCTGGCTCGTGGCAGAGGGGCCACACAGCCCTCGACTCAGGAGTGTGGAAATGTTTGTGTTCTGCCACCCAGGAGAGCCATAAACAACATTCCCGTGAATCTGCCACACACACAAGGTAYGAGGCACACGTGATGGTTACCAAATGTGTTGTCTGCGGCTCTGCGAGGGACGCCAGCAGAAGACACTCAGAAGCAGAGGCACCAGGCAAAGAAATGAAAGGTTTAGATMAAGATGTAAATCTTGGGAGCGAGCCTTAAAGTGGATTTCTTCTGTGAGTTGTTCTGCTGGTAACGAAAGAATAAGGTCTGTGCCCAACTCCCAACCTGGCTTTAATTTTCCAAAATGAGAAGCCGCTTGACAGTTTTTCCTCATCAAAACAAAATTAATCCAAGTATTGCATCTCTCTACTCAAAAACACATCCAGAGGGACTGTAGAGTGATTCACACCCACAACTGCTATGGGAAACCGTTTGCACTCATAGTGTAACAAGCCAACACTGATTCACCCACATAATTACAGGCAGACACTGATTCACAGCTACTGCAACTGCAGACAGACTGACTCACAATCAGAGCAACTGCAGACAGACCCAGGCTCACAATCACAACTGGAAACACAGCCGTGCTGACAATATCCACGCTCTGCAATTCCCTGTACACACCGACCTCTGGAAGACTGGCCAGCAGCGCAAACACTGCGCACCAAGCCCCGCGTTTCATTTTTTTTGCTGGCGCTTTTGACCTTCACCCCAGAGCCATCTTTCCTTCGCTGACAGAACAATCCCCACACCTCAGCAGCTGTCCCTGCCCCGGCAGCCCCCACAGCTGCCCGGCAGCACTGTCAGAGCCTGGCCCCAGCAGCAGTTCGGGCACGGGGAGTGTGATGGTGCAAGACATCCCTGCACATCCACTCTGATGCCACACACGGCTGCGCTGACTCCGTGCTTCCAGAACACGAGCAAATGCAAGCCAAGTACAATACATTTAGCCCATGGGCAAAGGAGATGGCAAAAGACTCACCACTGGGCAAAAGCCTGAAAAGCTGGATTATTTACTACACTCTCTGGCTGGGTATGTAATTATGTCAGTGTTCAGCCTGGGTATTGTGCTACTTTTTGTAAACAGTTGGCAGGAATACTCTGACCGAGATGAGGGGCTGGGCTCTGCCTCCAGTGTTGAGAGAAGCAGGCTGAAGAGGACRTGGTCTAGTTAGACACAGACAAACTGAGGTGAAAGAACACATTAGGCAGGGAAAGGGAAAGGAGAAGCTGAGAGTGAAGTGGGACAGGTGGCAGTCTACAGACAAAGGCAGAGCAAAGGAGAAAGCACAGAAGGAGAAAAGCTCCATGATGCAGACTTGTGATAAGAAGCTCCAAAGCGAGGACAAGCAGCAGTGCCCCGGTGCCGGGGGTGTCTCGCAGCAGTGCAGACAATGCATCTGTGCCTCCCCTCGTGCTGGGCTCGGCTGCACGCTGGGAACCAGGAGGAGATTCCAGGGAAAGGACACAGCAGCCTCCAGGCAAGCGTGTGCCGAGGGCCCAGGTGCAGCCGCAATCCCTCCAGCTGCTCRGAGCTCTCTCGGGAGCGAGCAGGAGGGTCAGGATCGAGCATTCCTGTGTGCTCTGGGGCACCCAGGCWCCACGGGCACGGGCTGAAGGGCAAAGCTGGCAAAACTCCACCGAAACGGCTTCACCTCAAAACACCCCAACATCCCACAGCCTCCAGGGMCAGGAAAAAGTTAAGAGACAGACTACAGAAAGGAGAAGACTTGCCTGAACCACAAGTAGCATCTTCTAGCTGTGGGCTGGTCCTGCCTCAGCACCTGCTATTTTTCTTCTCTGCCTCCCCAGGAGGGCACTAAGGGAATGGAGAGGTGAGGGAGCCAACCTGCTCTGCTGTTGCCATCAGAACAACGCGTGAGAACAGCCACTGGGAGCTGCTCTCGCCAGCCCCCGGCAGCCAGAGTCTCACCAGAGGGTCCTGGTTCTCTGTTTCTGTCTGGGGACGCTGCTGCATTTGCAGCCAGTCAGCAGCAGATTCGAGGGAGACACTGCCGATGCAATTGGCCAGGGAAATGAACTATTTGTTCAATTGTACTTCTCTTGTCCATGCGAGAACCATTCTGGCGGAAGGCAGAGCGAGGAACAATGGATAAGTGTTGCAGTGGGGACTGTCTGCCACTAAATTGCATTAGGCTATTCCTTTTTAATGGTCCATATCTCAGTCCYAGTAACTCTGCGAGAAGGAGAAAAGACCTGGAGCTCTTTTCCCCTCTCTCCTCATTCCAACCTCAGAAACCGCAGATCCCAAAAGTCCTTTTCCCCCCCAGCCCAACACAACCTCTGTGYCCATTAGGCCTGGCTGCAGGATTCAGGGGGAAATTCGACTTTGCTTTACCACCCCCTTCTCCCCGCTCAGCCCTTCTCCTGCATTCTGCGTCCGGCCCCAGCCAGGGCGCTCAGGATTGCCCTGGTCCAGGCATTTCTCCCCGCAGCCGCTCTCCCCGCGCTCCAGCCGGCAGCGCCAGGCGGGCGGGCTGGATGCCCGGCGGGGATCAGCGGGGCTCGGCTGGGGCGGCAGCTCCGCTCCGCTCCGCTCGGACCGACAGGCGCGGGACTCGCTGCGGGAGCGGGGATGCTCCGACCCCGCGCCCGCCCGGCCGAGCCTCCCCTTCCCCCGCCGCTCCGCCCATCGCCCACCGACCCGCAGACAATGCCCGGGGGCCGCGCAGCCCCGGCAGCCCCATCCCCKGCMGCCCCATCCCCTGCCCGCCGGGGCGGTTCGGTGCCGGGATCCCGGGGGAGCGGGGACCCGCCCGCACGGCCGCCCGCACTCACCGGCTGCCCCGGCGGGGGGCTCGGGGGGCGGCCGGAGCCCTCTCGGCTCCGCAGCGCTGCGCAGGGCTCCGCAGGGCTCCGCGCCCCAGCCCCCTGGCCGTGCCGCCCGGCCGGGGCTGCCGGTGCCGCCTGCGCGCTGCTCCGGCCGCGGCGAGCGAGGCACACAGGCAGGGAGGGAGGGGAGCAGCATCCCCCCGCCTTCCTCCTCCTCCTCCTCCTCCTCCTCCTCCTCCTCCTCCTCCTCCTCCCCGCGCCCCGGAGGAGGGTTTACCCACCCGCTTTGTGCCGAGCTGCCCGCCCCGCAGCGTAGGCAGCGGGGACGGGGCGCTGTGGCTGCCCCGCTTTGGGGGCACCTCCCCGAGCGATGGATGCCCCGGGCTCCTCCGCCCAGCCCCGGCCCCACAGCACCGCCATCCTTTGGGCGCAGGAGGATGAGCAGAGCGGGGCTGGCTGCTCCCTACCTGTTGAAGGGGGGAGCTCCTCGAGGCGCTGGTGCTTCTGTAGGAAGGTGGGCAGCACCCCGGGCTGCGCCCCTGCTCCTGCCAAGCTGCCTCCTCCCTGCGAGGCCTCGGCCGAATCCCGGGTCTTCCACCGGGGCAGGGAAGTTTGGCCCACAACTTGGGGTTGCCGGGGTTTATATCGCGATAAAACGAAATGCAGAGGGGAAACAAATGCGGGGAAGGGGAGAGGAGGAAGAGAGGTTAAAATGCAGCGAGAAGTAGGCAGCAAAAGCAGGGGCAGAATCGGTGTGGAAATGCAGGGAGCCCAGAGGAAGGGCTGGCCAGAGCTGGCTGGGCTTGGGGAGGTTTTGCAGAGCCACACGCCAGCGAAGCTGGGAAGGCGAAAGCTGACAGTAAGGCGCACTCAAAATATATTGTCCCTGCAGAGCTCTCCTTGTTAAACACGCACTGCAAGGCTCAGCCGCAGTTGACTCCAGAACCAGCCCTCCATCACTGAGGATACAGGGTGAGAGGAGGGAGCATCACTGCAGGCATTGCTGACCRCCCCAAAACCTCCTCTGTAAAATATTCCTGGTTTTGAATACTTAAAATAACATGGAAACATACTTCAGGACACGGGCCCTCAAGGCATGAGTGATTAAATCTAATTTAGCTGTCAGTTCTCTGCATTTAGGTATTAGAAAATGACCCAGTTCTTGCTTCCAGGAGAAAGTTGGGGGCAATCACGGTTCTACCTCATCCCTACARACCACAGCCATCCTGAGTTTGGTGAGATAGGAGCATTTATCATGACACATTCCTGGACAGTAGGAAGAGAACATCATCTSTCTTTCAAAGCCAAATTTCAGCTCCTCATGATGTGAGCATGGTCTTTACTAATCCATGTATCCAGCTGAATCTGTTAGTGGTTTAAATGCCAGTGAGCTCTGCTTTCCTCTGCTGGGCAGGGTCCACAGGCAAGACCTGAGGATCTGACAAGATCTGAAGACCAACATCTTGAACAAAAACTGGGCACTGCCCCACAGTCAAATCTGCCATGTTTTAGACCAGAGCAGGAAGAGTCCTCCGTGTTACTGCAACCCTTGGCTCTCTGACAGGAGCTCTGAACCACCACGAATTGTACATAATCAAGATAAGTTTCTCCAGCCCTCAACATCACATCCAGCCCTGGACAATGGAGATTAAACACTCACAGGACAATTTTGCAGCAGCAGCAAGACCTTCAAGATGTTACTTTCTGTTCTCTGAAAAATATTTTGCCTGAGCAGCRGAGACCTTACATTTGAGATCTCGTGTGGACAGACAACATTTTAATTGTCCTTAGACTCTGCATACAACCAGTACATGGTATGGGGCTGTTCCCATTTTTAAAATGTCTGATTCTGCATTGAATTCCTCCTGCCATAATATGAAGCATCATTCAAGAAGACAGCTGTCAATGCCAGCATRAGAGCTTTTTGCTGGTCTCCAAAACGAAAACAAACCATAGGATCATAGAAAAACTCATATTGGAAGAGATTTCAGGACATCAGCAGCTAGTCCAACCTCCTACTCAGGGCATGGTCAGCTAAGGAGGAGCCCTGCACACAATTTGGCTGTACTTCTTCACACGGGATTCCTGCTTACATCTACATTTCCTCCCAGACACATCTTCTGTTCCTCATTTATATGCTYGTGAACGAAAGAGCGTTGGCAAGGGAACAGGGAAGAGCCCAGAGGGAGTCCCAAGGCACGGCCATTCACTTGGCTAAAAGCCCCAAGGMTCTGGCCCACACCTTCCCACTGGAGCTGATGCTCCGCTGGAGAATACACCAAGATGACCATGCCCAAACACAGGAGCTGGCCTCCTGAAGAACACTGATAGCCTTGAAGATGGGAGCAGAAATGGTCCTAACACTTGCTCTTCCTCCTTTCCAAACTGATTCAGCTGCTGGCACGAGCTRCCTCGGATGTGAGAAGAGGCATGAAGCAGAATCAGCGAGACAGGCATATCCGGAGACAGAAGTGACTCAGGATTTTGAATGGCTCATATGGAGGAACAGTCCAAGATTTACACATTTAAGTAGTGCTAACAACAGTCAGAGGCAATGAAAACCATGCTTCTCTGGAGGCCTGTTCTTCCATGAGCAACAGTCATGCACACTTCCCCAAGAGCGACATCTCTCACTCTGCCCTGAGATGCCTTCACCCTCACTGCCTCCTCTGCTCACAGGTCTCTGACACTGCCAGCAGCCTCAACTAGGCTTGGGCGTAAGGCCCTTTACTGGAAAAGCTTTTCCAAGAATCTAAAAGTCAAATTAAATGCCTCCCCTTGTAGCCACAGCACACGCCAAGTTCTTACAAAGGTGAGAGGGAGACTGTCTGGAGTAGGACAGAAAATAAAGTGTCTCATGAACCATGAGCTGCGAAGAGCAGAGCAAGAGGTACAGCACCTGAGAAAGGCACACCTCCCAAGTTAGGGGGTCTATGGACATGCATTTTGTAACCCTTTCCACTCCTCCAGATGTGCTGATCCACACCACAATCAGCTCCTGCAAACCCTTGGCAGAGCAGAGAGCTGAGCACCGCAGCAAGGCCTGCGGCCCGCTGCCAAACATCCATCAAAATATCCACCAGGCAAAACCCTCCTGGAGCAGGGGCTGCACCAGACACCCCAAAACTCTCCGTGCCCCTCGTGTTTTGCTCACCCCACCTGTTAGCCCTGCAGAGACACCAAGGGAGGCTGTGGAAATCTTCCTCTATCCCAGCCAATGCCAAAAACCGACTGACCCATAAGGGAAGTGAGTGCTCCTACCATCTGGATGGTGCATGATGAYGGAATTAAAGACATAAGGACTATCCAGCAGTAGCACAGGAGGGGTTTGGACAGCAGGGGATGCTGTCAGGATRGAAGGAAGAGGCTTTAGCCAGGGAAGCAGCCATTAGGTAGCTTAACAAGTCYCATTTTAGACAACCTTTTCTCGGGGGGGCATGGGTAGTGTTATCAATGTCTAGTTGTAATTGTCTTGATCTTTGCACTCTTCAGAAGTAAAAGTAACCCTCCATTAAGAGTATCAGTCTCTGTGGGTACATTCATCAATTTAAGAGACATAAAAACATCTTGTGAAACCTGTAAGCAATTATCTTTTAATGCATCACTCCATCATAAGGCTTTTTATTTCTTTTTTAARCTATATAACCTCCCCATCTCTGGCTTTACCTGCTCTCAACACCTCCCTGAACTCTGGCACACTCCAGCAGCTCATGGCTTTGAGGCAAAACCCTTCATGTGGTGATCAAGGTTAAAATATGGCTGTCACCATATTATTGAAGACTCATCTCTCAAAATGGAAGTGCAGCAGCCTGGGAATATTTTGCTAATAATTAGCTGAGCCTTTCCCTCTCATCACCCTGCTCAACAAGCCAGAACAAAAGTCTGCTTGGTTTTAGGGCCAATGCCCTTGGACTGAACGGAATTGCAGAATCTAGCCCCACAGCAGCAAAGCAGGAGGGTCYGTTCTGCAGGAGCAGGCTGGAGCAAGAGCTTTGGGATGTGCAGCACATCTCAGGGATGCACCGCTCTCGGTGGCACCTCCAGGCCATCCCCATCCCTCCCCCCAAACCCAGACTGGGCATCCAAGGCTGTGGTTCTGCTGCAGTGAGGGGCTGAGCCAGGGAGAGGGAGCACGCTGGGGGGACCTGTCCCAGTAACACGGTCCCACAGGGCACTGGGAGGCACAGAGCAGCTCAGGGGTGAAGGATCATCAGCACAGGTCCTGACTGCTGCTGGGCTGGCACTGGGCATGGAGCAGCTGGCRTGGGGAGAAAACAGGACCCAGCGCTGGGCACAGATGAATCCTTTGTACCAGTCCTGTGTGAGGTGGTCCCTGCATGCTGACATCCCCTTTGGAGCCTTGTCCTGTGCCAGGGAGAGCAGCCAGCCTGCAGGCAGGTCAGGAGGCCAGCACAAAGATCTCTGCCTCGCCCTGAAAGCTGCTGGTCACTCACCACCCAGGAGCACCACGATGATGGCTCACATCCCACTGAGCTGCCAGAAAAGGGCTCTTTTCTCCCATTCCCTTCCGCTCTTAAAGCACCAGGGACATCTCAACAGCCTCACAGACCAAACTGTGCGGTGTCACMTCCTCTCTCTCCATCCCCACGTGGCAGTGCCCCTTCTCCCCGCCCGCCCTCTCTCTGCAACCCAAGCAGCGTCAGAGCCGGCTGCTGCCGTGCTTTATTAGCCCATCTCCATGGCAACTCGCCTCCAGCTTCACTCGGAGAGACCCCCGGCTCCTCTGTGCCATAAATCAGCCWCCCGCCTCCATCCTTGCTGGGGCACGGGGTCAGGGCTCACCCTGATGCCCTGTCCCAGCTGGGGCTGCTGTTTGCCATCTGTGGCACCACATTGTCACCCCTCGAGCCAAGTTTGATATCCAGCATCCCAAAGCTGGTGGTTTGGAGCCAGCCACACAAACCAGCGTGGAGCTGRTGCTCTGTGGCCTTTGGGAAGAGTCCAGGGACCGTCCCAGCAATGGCACCTTGCCCAGGGGAAGGCAGCTGCCTCCCCTCCACACCCACGGTGGAGCCCTCAAAGGCTGCCCAGAGGGAACAAAGAACYACCTCAAACGCTGTGCTGTGCTCTCCCTTGTGTCCAGAAACAGCTCAGGAGCAACCCTTAACCCAG